GAACGATTAGACTTTGCTTTTTATAAATTAATTAATAATTCAGAAAATTTATTCTAAACCAGGTAAGAAAATTTTGAATTATGTGCCTTTTTTTAATTCGAACAGAAAAGGATCCCTTTAGACCTATTCAAGTTACATATAATACATTTCTGGCTCCGTTTTTGGATTTATTATATTATGCAAAGGCACAGTGGTTGGGCTTGTACTGAGCCGCGGCCATAAATACTTCTAGTTCAGATATTGTAACGAAATTTAGACCAAAATTCTAAAAAAAATATTTTAAATGTGTCGGGTCATCCAGCCGCAGCAGATATTTAGATTCTCTTAATGCTAGCTCTTAGCTTATCTGCATAATTACCATCGCTCTCTCTCTCACTTTATCTTTCTGTTCGCTCTCTCTCGTTACTTGTTGGTTTATACTTTGGGTCAGCAATCGGCTGATCCGCGTCTTAATTCAATTCTAACCTTCCTTTCGATCTCGCCGACCATTTTGTTAATCGCTTCTGCTAAATAAATTCGCTGCCTTTGCAGAAATCGAACTCTAAGTTTTCGTCTTTTTAATTCAACAGCTAATAAAAAAGCTTATTAGCTCAACATTTGGTGACCCCGACGTGATCTGTGCATAAAAAAGACCCAGTGCAAGTCACAAAAATTTAATTTATTTTACCAGGCTGCATATTTTACTTGATCTGTGTTGCAGCTGGATTGTGCGTTAAACTGCCATAAACAATTTTGTGCAAATAAACAAATTGTTACACAAACTCGTACATAAGGCGATATATAGACCAGTAGCGGATCATTTTTCGCTATTCCCCTTTTGCGTTCATCTTCCCGCTGAAGCCGAATTTTGCCCACCGAGTCTGCTGCATTTATTATTGTTGTTGTTGCTGCTTAACATGTCTTCAGAAAATTCGGTAAGCGTCACCGGCAACAGCAGCTCAAACAGGGTGCCATTTCTGAAGCGCAAGGCAAATTCACTATTTAATAGAGTGGAGCGTTTAATGGAATCTCTTTCAAGTTCGGCGTTGAATTCGTTTGACGATTCTGGCCTTCATGTGAGGTTGGAGCTTATTGAGGAACTTCAAGGAGCATTTAAAAAGGTTCTCAGCGAGCTTGAGCAATTGGATTTCGACGAGATTGAAAACGACTTGGACGAGAAATTTGATGACGTCGTCGTTATTCTTAAGTCGACGGTTCGATCGGAGATCACAAAGCGCTCCTCGCAGTTGCTTCAGCATTCAACCTTTGCTGATGGTAATACGCCCGGTCATTTCGGCCATCAACAGCGACAAGCTCTGCGCCGAGTGATTCCACTTCCCGCTCTCTAACTTCCGAAATTCGCTGGAGGTTATGCGAATTGGGCAGATTTTTTATTCCATGTTTACATCCATCATAGACAGTCATCCTGACCTGACCAGAAAAGCTGCAGCATCTACGTTCTTGCCTGAGGGATTCTGCGTTGGAAACCATCCGCTCGCTGGAAATTTCGGATGGAAATTATTCTGTGGCTTTGGACTTATTGCAAAACTGATTTGATAATCGTCGTTTGGTTTTTCAGGCACACATTACTGAGATCCTGGGGCTTAAGGCAGTGCATAGTGGTTCCGTCTCGATGCTTCGTAATCTGTCAGATAAATTCAACGCTCATATTCGTGCTCTAAAGGGATTGGGCACGACGGAACAAATCGCAGGATGCATCATCGTCCAAATACTGCTTCAAAAGCTAGATCCTGCGAGCCAGGCCAAATGGGAGGAGCGATTAGAGGATCAAGTATTCATCAATCTAATTCCGACGTGGGAATCCATGGCATCATTTTTGGAGCAGCGATGCAGAACATTAGAGACTATGGATTTCGCCATGGCAAGCTATGCGTCTGGCAAACAGGTGGGAAACAACGGAACATCTAATTCTCGTAGATCCGCTTTTGTTGCCATAAATATTAACCCTTGGATTTGTTCGTTCTGCAATGCTTCTGGTCACTCCATTCATTACTGCCAAGATTTTAATGCCCTGCCCCCTGCAAATCGGCTTCAAGAAGTAAAGAGGCTCTCTCTTTGCATAAACTGCCTTAAGATAGGGCATCAATTGAGGCAGTGCAATTCCAGCAATTGTCGTGCATGCGGAGCTAAACACCACACCCTCCTTCACTTGGGAAATTTAGCCTCAGCTTCTTCACAGGCAGGATTACAGCTTCCAGAAGCTCTTGCCGCTGTCTCACTCAATGCTGTCCACATCCACTGCTCTTATTGCTCAGGATTTCAGTACTGACATTGTGCTCCTAGCCACTGCCACCGTTCTCGTAAAAAATCGGTCTGGAGTTTTCGTTCCATGTCGAGTCCTTCTTGATTCGCGCTCTCAACTGCATCTAATAACATCACGCTTTGCAGATCAGCTTCAAACAAAGAAGATAAAGTCCTCGGCATCTGTTACTGGAATCGGTGATTCGAGCTTTGTTACAAATGGTCACTCAGTTAATATTGCGATACAGTCCCGAACGTCTGATTACACGGTGAACCTAACCGCAGTTATTGCCCCCAATATAACTGAGCTACAGCCTAGTTTTAATGTGGACACCAGCAGCTGGAAAATACCGCAAAACATTAAATTAGCTGACCCTACATTTTATATCCCTCAGCGTGTGGATCTTTTGATTGGAGCCAGTTTGTTTTACGAGCTGTTGTGCGTTGGACAAATTAAGCTCGCACCTGGATTACCGCTTATTCAAAAGACTCGACTGGGATGGGTTGTTTCCGGAGGATATGGCGTCTCCAATGGCTCTTCATTAATCTCGCCCCTTGCTGTACCTCGCGTTAGTAAGGAGAATAGCTTAGATCGCCTTGATGATCGTCGAAAGGTCCTGCTAATAAAATCGCCAAGCTCGTCGCTGGACTTCAATGGCCGCCATCCAGTCATATTGCCACGGAGCCATCCTGTCACTGCCGCCATCATTACTCACTTTCATGAGCGTAGTCAGCACACAGAACCTCGGGCCCTATTCTGCATAACTCGATCCCAGTATTGGCCTATTGGGGGGAGGAAGCCGGAACGATTGGATGGATGGCAACGTGTGGCCTATTTGCAGCAAGTCCTCTGGACCCGATGGAAGAAGGAATATCTGACGCTACTGCAGCAGCGCTCCAAATGGCGCACCCCGAAGCCTGGCCTGGTTGTCGGTGACGTGGTGCTGGTCAAGGACGAGAACTTACCTCCGAAGAAGTGGCCCCTAGCGAGAGTCATTGAGCTTCTGTGTGGTGCAGATGAGTTGCTCGAGTTGCAGTTCTCAAGACAACATCAGGAGTGACGAAAATGAGCAGTAAATAAGCTGCGTCTGCTGCCCCTTAAAGATGCTGTTGAAAGCCAAGCTTCCAACGGGGGGGAGTATGTCGGGTCATCCAGCCGCAGCAGATATTTAGATTCTCTTAATGCTAGCTCTTAGCTTATCTGCATAATTACCATCGCTCTCTCTCTCACTTTATCTTTCTGTTCGCTCTCTCTCGTTACTTGTTGGTTTATACTTTGGGTCAGCAATCGGCTGATCCGCGTCTTAATTCAATTCTAACTCTTCCTTTCGATCTCGCGGACCATTTTGTTAATCGCTTCTGCTAAATAAATTCGCTGCCTTTGCAGAAATCGAACTCTAAGTTTTCGTCTTTTTAATTCAACAGCTAATAAAAAAGCTTATTAGCTCAACAAAATGTATAGTAAAAAAATTGGCCACATCGTACGCCTATATCATATAGCTGCCATAGGAACGATAGGATAAAAATAGTATATAGTATGAAAAACTTTTTTGTTTTTCAAGATATGTAAACCAAACTTACAGATTGTACGCCTGGACCAGTTTTATATATACTTGCCAAATATAGTCCAAATCGGAAAACTATATCATACAGCTGCCATAGCAAAAATTGTAAACACAAATAAGTACCAGTTTCAAGTAAAATTGAAATACTTTAATAATAAGACACTTTTGTAAATAAATTAGGAGCCATAACAAATAAAACAAAATAAAATAAAAAAAACATTAATTAAATCAAAAAGGGTAAATTTAAATTTAAAGGGTATTATAATTTTAGTAAGAAGTTTGCAACGCAGTGAAGGAGACACCCCAGTACCCATAAGTCGGAAGGATTGAAAAAAATATATATCATGTCGTAGTTTTGATTATGTCGACTTGATTACTTCCGGATGGTGTTTTTTAACTACTATATAAAATCGTAAAACATATATACAAATATTGGAAAAAAAATGATAACGTCGTTGTTTTTTTATCCCACAAGCAAGAAAATCGCCTGTTTTAATTACCCTTGAACCGAGAAAAAAATTTTATAGCTGCCATTGGAAAATCTACATATGTATATAGAATTATCGGAAATAAAATGATAACATCGTTGTTTTTTTTTTCAGACAAACATAATTTTAAGAATTTAGACATTTTAACGACTCTTGAATTTCTAATTAAATGGTTTCGGACGACTATATCATATAGCTGTAATATGAACGCTCATTAAAAATATGAAAAATTAATAGAAAAATAGTCATAGATTCGATGTAGTTTAGCCTTTTAGTATTTTGTTCGACATACATACATATGTATTTGACGATTGCAAGGGTATGTACATATATCAGCTTCGGCTTGCCGAAGCTAAATTTCTCTCTTGTTTATTATGAGACATAAAACGAGTTAAGTAAAATACTTTCCAAGTATACTGTTATTGTTGACTTTTATATGTACATACATATACATATGATTCTTTTTAATTTAATGGCAAAAAAAAAGAAAACAGAAAAAATCTGCAAAGACCTAAAAATCTGTCAAATCCTAACAATTAAAAAGGCTCTAGTCAGTGACAACAAAATATTTACTTAACTATAAATTCATTTATTTTTTAGGTATAATATTTGGATATTGTATATGGGTAATATGCACTTAGCAGAAGGTTCCGAAACCGATTTTGAAAAATTTGTTGGGTTGAACTTAAGTGAATAAACTAACTGTTCAGTTGAGCTAAAGATAACCTGATTCTTTCTACACTTTTTACACAACATTTCGATAAGGGTACCTACATATGTATATCATTTACTGCAATAAAACATCAGTGTTAAAATTAATCTCATTGATATAGCAACATAAGTGCGTGTGTGCATCTTGTTCGTTTCTCAGTTTAGTCAAATTTTTTGCGGAAAGACGGTAAATTATGTTAATTATACATATGTACATATGTGTGAAATATTTTTTTTGCGTAAATTCGAACAGCATTGGGATGCTGAGAAAAAATATTATGATTATCTAATATTGATATCTTAAAACATAAATTTGAACCATTGATGCATGTGCATTACATCTATGCATACATATGTATGTATATGTATGTACATACAAATCACAAATTTTCCTCACGCAATGCACTTGTATTTGTGTAATTATGTATGTATGTTGTATATTAACATTGATATAGTATTTTATTGAAAGTTTGATTTTATCGTACTAAAATACAAAAAATATGTATATGCATACATACATATGTATGTGTTGTGGTTGTATGTACATATGCATATTTATTTTCATAAGTATGTCGACCCATGTTGGTGACCAAATTGGCTGTCTCATTAACGCTAATTTTCTTTCCATTCCCCTTATAATGTGGTTCTTATTTTCTTGAAGATATACTGTGCTTCCTATTGGCTTTACATCTGGAGTTTGGGGAAGTGTTTTAAGCTGTTTGTTGTGATGCAAAAGCCTCTTTGCACCAACAAGATATCTTGTTGAAACAAGAATTTCTTTGGATCAAGTCCATGTTTTAAAACACTGAAAATTACATTTTCGCTTAGAACATCGTTAAATCATCCATTAAGACCATTCTGCCGACTCCACACATAGCTTCTCTACCCCAAACCATCACATTCTCACCACCATACTGAATAGTTGCTATCAAGTTTTTCTCTTTTAAAGCTTCATTTGCCTTTCTCCATATTTTGGGAGGACCTTCGTGTTCAAATATGTTTTATTTGTACATGATGTTTTCTGATTTTACAAGAATGTGGACACAGCTTTCCACTCCTCGCATGAGGTCAGTACCTTCACCGTGATCTTCTGCTAAATCTCCTGTGTCCAGATATTTTTTTATCACACTAAGTATTGTGGAAGGTGATTTGCCAATAATTCTACAAATTTCCCGATAGCTACGATTCTTCAAATACAGTTTTAATAAAGATTTTTGCAATAAAAATTATGCTCGTGGATTAAAAATCAATGACGTTATCATTTTTATACCCTTGTATTTTAATTTCTGTAATAAGTTTGCAACGCAATAAAGGAGACACCTTAGAGCCCATGAAGTACAGTGGCTCTCAGCTTATTTCATGCAGTAAACTAAAAAAAGGTCAAGTCCTTATTCCTGCTAAACTAAGAAAGATAACAGAAAAATTTAAATGCAGTATTTTAATATGGAATATTAACTTGTTTATTGAACGAAAGCGATTTTCAAAATCAAAAAAACAAAATTATTTAGTAAAAACAAAATGAACAGCCTTTTTTCATGTTGCAGCTTATTTCGTGCAGCAGATTCTACTTAACTTATTATTAGTAATTTAACAGATACTGTTTTGTATGTCCATCTTTCTGGTTCAGGACATCTTTGAGATGATTTCCCATGGAGCAAAATATCTTTTTAGTGGTTTTCACTGGAATTTATTTCCATTCTTCTATAAGAACAGTTTACAGGTAGTTTTTGTTCGAAATCTTCCTCTTCCTTATAGCGGTGTCCAATATTTCCCAAAAATTGTCGATGTCTTTAAAATCTGGAGACTGTGCTGGCGTTATAACGACATGAGGGCAGTTCCAGGTAACCCAAGACTTCACAATTCCTGCTGATCCTGCTTCGGATCGTTGTCCTGGTAAAATCGAAAACCATCGCGTATGTCCAGTTTTTCAGCAGTTTGCAGTAGGTTATCCTCTAAAATGTTGAAGTACATTGTGGCATCCATGATTCCATCCATGAAAATAAGTTTGCCCACGCCAGAGGCGGCCATACAGGCCCAAGCCATGACGTGACCAGCGCCATGTTTGACCGTAGGTTTCAGGTGCTTATTTTCAAACTCTGTATTTGGTCGTCACCACACAAATTGTCGTCCATCTGAACCATTGACTCGTCAGCAAAAATAGAGTCATCCTTCAGTAGCGATGGCGTCACGCAAGTGGATGTACTCGTCTGAGCGCAACTTCGACTGATTTAAACGAATAAAATTGAGACGTTCCGTTTCTACTTTGACGTACATGTCGACACAGTACTGTTGAAACAAACGGCGGTATCTTAACAGATGATTGTCAACATCTAGAATCAAAAAGAAATGATGACTTCTAAACAAACCTGTCATAGGATTAACCATCTTTATGTTGAAGTGATAACCATCTTCTCCACGACAGAACATCAACGGGTATTGAAGAGCATCATATGACCGACGAGTCTCATAAACTCGCTGCAATTGGCCATCATCCCGACGCTTAAGAACAATATCGCGTGATTCCACATTCTCGCCAACAATCACCACTGCGACTTTATTAATAGTGGAAGCATTAAATTGTCATGCATGGCTACCAGTGGGTCTTTTGTCAGCGCTGATAATGATTTTGTGTTCGTCATAATGCATAATATCCAATGCAGCTTTGAACAATCTGACCAATTCATTATGCTCATGGAGAAGATTTTGCAATTGTTCGATAATTTCACGTTTAGTTGCAGTAAAAATTGCACAGCGGTGATTTAGTTCAACTGCCGAATCACCAATCAAATAGATCTGAAGGAATTTATGATCTTTGTTTTGTGGTGGTAACAAAGCGCCCGCTCGGTGGTGAATTTGCCCTTGAATCTGAATGTTGGGATGCAATTTTGAAAAAAATGGGAGCTGCCCGTCTCGCCCCCCCTGGCGACGCCCTTGGACCAGAACCCCATGATCTCAACAAGAAAACTGGCTGTGGAGGTAGGGGAAAAATGTGGAGTGGATGTTTCTCATGAAACTATTCGCAGAATTATTAGGAGCCATAATTTCACATCCCGAGTAGCTAGAAAAAAAAACCCCTATTATCAAAACAAAATGTTGAAGAGCGTCTTTCATTCGCTCAAACTCTTTATGTAAACAGGCGTAATTTTGTGTCTTTTAAAAAATTTGTAAAATTTGGGCTAAAAATTTTTTGGCCTAACAGCAGTACCAAAAAATGGTATCCACCATAGGAGCTGCATACATATACATATTCATATGATTACAAAACCGCTTTTAATTCAATTGAATACAAAAATTGGTTAATTGTTTCATGCAAACTGAGCTCGACTCTAACTATTATTGTATTAGTTCATATAAGAAAAGATAATCATATAATGAATTTTTATATATTACAGTGGGAATTGCATTTTGCAACACAAATGCCAATTATAAAAGCATAGTGTGCCATATATTTTATGAAAAGTTGCGTTACGATTTAAGTTAATATGGACAGCAACGCGGCGCAAAATAAAACATCAGATCACGATTATTCAGAATTTCTCAGCGAGTATTTGTTGCAAACAAAATCCCAAAGCAACGAGTCCGAAGTAAATTATGAAGGTTTGCAACTTAAAGCGAAAATTAATTCAAAAGCATTAATTTAAATAAACTCAAATTTTAGATGGGGAAATGGAAGCAGAGTGGTTGGTTTCCGCCGGATATCCAGAATTGACTAAACCATTTAAAGAAGTAAGTCTCATTTGTAATTTTAAGGTACATATTGAAATAGGCCGTTAATAATTCAGAAATATCATAGAATTATGAGTCGATAACATCCTGTTGAATTGTCTTTTAAATTTTGTACTATTTAATTTAATAATCTAACTATGTGATAATACTTACAGTCTTATGTACATTTAAATAAAAGAATTACAACAAAAAAGCACTAATAATTAAAAACCAAACATTATTTTACTCTATTATCTTCACTACAATACAATGAATTTAATTGATACTTCAGTGTAAGTAATACGAGGCGGCCAGCTATGCTAACACCGAAATTAGAAAAATTGAGAACAATTGAATTTCACTGTATTGTTATGATATTGAATTGTAGCTTATACGAAACGTTTGTATTTTTAACATAATATGATTAAATATTTACTCAATCCAGTCAATAAAAATCGCGATTTTAGAATTTTTTTGAGCTGACTGATAATTATAACTGTCAAGAAATAGACAAATAATTTGCAATAAAATAATATTGGGAACTAATATAATCTAAACTATTTTTCAAGTTGGGCCGAATTGCACACGTAGTGTAAACCAAATTTAAAATCGGATTAGTAGTTTTGGAGTCCATCGCATACAAACAAGAAAAGGAAATCTTTCTTAACTTTAAACATTGTTTACGGTTGTTTTTCTGGAAAAAAAGGGATACTTCCTCCGCATAAAACCTTGCATCCTTTCCCATTCAAGTTACCTAACTTGTTAAGTGTCACGTCCTAAAGAGGTAGAAAGGAAAACACATTTTTGTGCAGTCCCTCTGCTTACCTTACACGTAAGGATCGAATCACCTGGTGATAAATTCTACAATAGTGCATGGATCAGTTCTTCAATTTGGAGTTCATTAGTCAGGGACTCAGTTATTATATTTTATTTATATATATTATATTTAATGTAAAAAAAAAATTTTAAAATCTCATTCAATATTAAGTAATTCTATTACCGAGCTTAATGCCAATTGAACCGTTATTTGATTGTAATCTGGTTTCTCAGTTTCTGTGAAAAAGACTTGCAAGACTGACCGTTTGGCATTCTTTAAAGGATTAGCTACACCATGTACTTCTATCTTTTTTTTTACCCACAGAATCTTTATGATTAACTCCAAAGGATGGGGTTATGTTATGCTATATAGTTACCAGACTTGTAGGTAGAAAAGCGTGTGAAGAAAAATCCGATATATTTTCAACTAACCTTCATAACCTTGCAGATCAAAGGGTATTATAATTTCAGTCAAAAGTTTGCAACGCAGTGAAGGAGACACCTCAGACCCCATAAAGTATATATATTCTTGATCATCATCAAGATCTGAATCGAAATACGTCTGTACGTCCGTCTGTCCTCCTGTCTGTTCCTATGTAAACTAGTCTCTCAGTTTTAAAGGTATTTTGCTGAAACTTTCCCAAAAGGTGTGTACCTAGTTATTGCACGCAGTTATATAGTATAGCTCCCATACAAGAGGTTGAAATAAAAAATTCTAACGCCGTTGTTTTTGATCAGATCGAATTGATTTCTTCCAGATGGCGTTTACTAACTACTATTGAATTTCGGATTACATTTTATCAAAATCGGATAACTCTATCATATAGCTTCCATAGGAAAGATTGAAAAATCTATATAGAAATAACGGAAAAAAAAGTATAGCATCGTTGTTTTTCATCAGCCAAGCATTTTGGAATGTACAGTTTTCTAACGACTCTGGAATCACACATAAAATTTAAAAAAAATCGGACAACTATATCATATTGCTGCTATATGAACAATAGTCGAAAATACGGAAAATTAAAAGAAAAATCGTCATAGCTTTGATGTTGTTGAGCCTTTATGTATTTTGTTCGACATATTTGATGACTGCAAGGGTATATCAGCTTCGACTTACCGAAGCTAGCTTCCTTTCTTGTTTGGCTACTTTAAAAAAAAAACTTGCACTGATTTGGGCCCCAAGTATCAGAGCTGTCTCCAATCAAGACTGTAAACACTTTATGAGGTTGAAGATATTTCTGTGACTGTATTGCAAACTTGCGGCTGAAATCATAAAACCCCTTGGAAAAAAATGCATTTTCTAAAATGTAAACTTTTTTTAAAAATGCTAAGCATAAATGGAATTTTAAGATAATTTATTTTTGGTTTTAATTTTAGGGATTAGAGCTTCGTATTACTGAACTGGATCCTGTAATCACAACATTATCAAAGCCTCATGCTGAAGTTATAATTCAACGCGTAAAAGCCTTAAATCAAACAGTAAGGGGACGCACAAAAAGTCGGTCAAAGCGAAAGCCTGACATACGAGATGTATTCCGTGATTTTGATGTAAGTCTTATTATGAACTATATAAATTCTAAATATGTTAAGTTTAATTTTATTATTAGCTTGCGTTTCTTAATAATAATGCTATTTAATTTCAATAATAAATATTTATTTAAATATTTTTATTATTCTATAATACATATAATATAATTATATATAATATAATATAGATATATTAAATATAATATAATATAATTATATATAATATAATATAATTATATAAGTATTTATTTAAATCTTTATTTTTAATATTCATTTATTTAAATACATATCTATTTTTTAATTATTATGTTAATTTCTTTCGTTAAGAGCCAACAACAATTCGCGAAATTATCATAGTGCAGATCGTTCACGTTTTCCATAAAAATGCCTTAAGATGCGTCTTTACGAAAAGCGGGAAATTCCCAAAAGTAAGAAGCAAATATGTATAGATAAATATGAGCAGAGAGGCGCGAGCAAGGAGAAGGGGTAACAGTGCAACACAGGAGAAAGAGTTCAAAAAATCAAAATGAACCATCTTGACTCTGGCAATTTAATAGTAAAATGGCTTTAACCTCAGCGGGTTTGTCATGTACGCATATACGCATGGTCGGTGGACCAGCATGTAGAGCGCTGGTCTCCGAACCAAAAAGCCCGGGTTCGATTCCCCAGGCTCCCCGAGAAAATGAAACGCTCTCTTTTTCTATGCTCTATCGCTCACTTAACAATAGTACGGATCCGCACACCTCTTCGTCCACATTACTATGGACACGATAATAAAACTTTCGCCACTCCTAGATGGCGCTAAATGGCAACCCCACCACTACGATAATTCGCTACTGGCTAATCACCAGTACGATCGAAAACACCAAAGATTAATGAATCCTCTAGAAGTTGTAAAGGCCCTATTAATTTTTTTTTAAGGTCACTAAAAGTACGGTTGGTTTTAAAAATTGGTTGAGTCGCCTACTATTTAAATTGCCCCAATAACCGGGCGGAATTTAAGGCCTTACTTTAGCCCGAATCGGACTATCACGGTTTGGGGAACGTTCTATTCTACAGGAACTGTATTTATGCAAATACTCATATTATACTCTTTCAGAGGGTCTTATAATTTTAGTCATAAAGAATATATATATTTGATCAGTATCACGATCAAATACGTCTGTACGTCTGTCCGTCTGTCTGTTTCTCTTCAAACTAGTCTCTCAGTTTTAAAGCTATCTTGCTGAAACTTTCCCAAAAGTTGTGTAGTTATTGCACGCAGTATAGATCAAAATTGGTTAACTCTATCATATAGCTGCCAAATGAAAGATTGAAAAATATATACATAAATAATAGAAAAAAATTATTTTAAAAAAAGTATTATATGGAGTTTTTAAATAACCCTTGAATCGAACAAAAATGTCATCAAAAGCTTAACTCTTAACTGCGCTAATAAGTAATAAGTACCCTTTACTACTAGAAAGAATACCCGGCAAATTAAGAAGATTCAGAAAATATAGCAACTGTGGCACGACCGTACTGCTTATTACAGGGGTTGCATAGTCTTTAAAGAACTTAAGTGTCGTCTTAAATGCAACCAATTAGCTACTGCCCATCATGATACCCGATTGAACTTCTACATACCTTATACAATCACCCCCGGAGTCTCCTTTGTCAATGTCCAACTACCCACTCCAACTACCAAGAGCAGTCAAACCACTTACCAACACCCAGCGGATTTGTATCCCACTAAGCGTAACACCAACATAAGCTGTCATAAGCCTTAAGCTGTAGACATGAGCCGAGAGCTGTCCCGAAACAAAATCCTTCTTATGAAAGTACTATCAATTTCGTTCCTTTCAAAGTAATCACCTTTCGATAAAATACACTTATGCCAAAGTTTTTTCAGATTCTCAAAACGTGCCTAATAATCAGTTTCCTTCTTTGATTTAGCTTTTATCTCCTTAACCGCGTTTAAAACGGTATCCTCGATGTGGTCTCTTGAGTGTTGGGAATAGCCAGAAGTCAATAAAATTATGATTTGACGGCGGGTGCCCTTATGACAAAGATGTTATGACAGTTTTGTATGACCAAAACATGCCGGATGCTATTGTCTATGCTTTCTTATAATAACAACCTTTAAATAAGAGTGGCTGTGCCGTTGGTCATAGACATTTATAATTAAACTTTGAGTCTGCACTTATTTGATCTTGGGTAAAGATAGTCTTGTTTAAGCCTCTTATCTCGATTATTTTGATTCAGCTGCACTTATCGCTGCTAATATAAAGTAGGACCCAAAACATAGTTTTTTTTTACCGGTATTGGAAGTCTTTCCAAGCTATTGAGTTTGCACATCGGCCAGATCAGGTCAAAATCGATTTAAGATGAAACACTTGCCTAAATGGTATTAGAAAAAAATTGTGATCTACCAGTTGGGCTTTACAATTTCGATTAAAGGTTCTATTAAAGTTATTAAAACTTTATGAAAAGCCCTATTTTCGTGAATTTTTTCAAAGATCCTGCGATTATTTTACAATGTTCGTTTATTGAATATGAGTATATAATATTTCAACTAAAATTTGTAAAATTTTGAAAAGAAAATATTTAAAAATGAGCCGTTGAGAATGCCTGAATGTTGACCACATGAAAAACAGTGGCTTGGCGGTAGTCAGATTATCTCCGCCAATTTTCATCAAAAATAAAAATGTTTTCTTTAAGTGTATGTGTCTAACTTGTCTTTGAACGATTTTTTTTTATCAAAAGTTTAATTTTTTATAACGTTTTTTTATAAAAAGTGTCGTCTTTTGCATACATTTTGAGCCTATTTCGTCCTATGAAGTAAGTTGTAATTGAAAATAAAAAAATCCTTCGTTCAACGACAACAAAAACAAGTCTACAAGAAGTGTGCGAAAGGAGAAGTCGATCGTGTAATAGTATTCGAAAAAATTTGACTACCGACTTTAAAAAAGTCGTTTTGAGAATAACGCGTACAAAGTTTTAAACCCTTTGAAACACTCTGGAAAAACCGCGCTTTAAATTCCCCCCATTCCTACAGTTTTTCTCCGATCGACTTGAAATTTTCGGACAACATTCCTTACGCTTTTTACTATTATATAAAAAATTAAAAAAAAACAAGAAAGGAAGCTAGCTTCGGCAAGCCGAAGCTTATATACCCTTGCAGTCATCAAATATTTCGAACAGAATACACAAAGGCTAAACAACATTTTTTCTATTAATTTTTCATATTTTTGACTATTCTTCATATGACAGCTATATGATATAGTCGTCCGATTTTGATGAAATTTTATTTGTTATTCAAGAGTCGTTAGAAAACTCGATATTCCAAAAATCATGATTTTCTGATGAGAAATAACGATGTTATCATTTTATTTCCGTTAATTATATATAGATTCTTCGATCTTTCCTATGGCAGCTATATGATTTAGTTGTCCGATTTTTATGAAAATTTTTTTATGAACCAAGGCTAGTTAAAAAACTTGATACTCAAAAAATCATAGTCGTGTGATGAAAAACAATCACCTTATCAATTAATTTCCATTAATTCTATATATATTTTTTGATCTCTCCTATGGCAGCTATATGATAGAGTTATCCGATTTCGATAAAATTTAACCCGAAATTCAATAGTAAGTAGAAAACGCCATGTGGAAGAAATCAAGTCGATCTGATCAAAAACAACGGCGTTAGAATTTTGTATTTCAATCTCTTGTATGGGAGCTATCCTATATAGTCGCCCGATCCGGCCCGTTCCGACTTATATACTGCGTGAAATAGCTACACACCTTTTGGGAAAGTTTCAGCAAGATAGCTTTAAAAATGAGAGACTAGTTTGGGCAGAAACGGACAGGAGGACAGACGGACAGACGTACAGACGTATTTCGATTCAGATGGTGATGCTGATCAAGAATATATATACTTTATGGGGTCTAAGGTGTCTCCTTCACTGCGTTGCAAACTTCTGCCCAAAATTATAATACCCTTTGCTCTGCAAGGGTAAAAAAAACGATTTTTTTGAGAAGTCAAGACCAGGGTAACCCCTTAACGGTAACATAAACCCAAGTTTTAAAATCATTTTAAAAAAATGTTGACTTAAACGTCGCCTAAAATTAATAGTAAATATTATTAATTCGTAAATATTTTTGAAAAGGAATCGAGTACAGGCACACGTTCACGGAGTGCAACGCCGGATTCATTGGATTCCATACACGCCGATGAGGTTTGGCTAAATAGTTCTGTGTAAGACACGTTGTAGAATCTAATCCTAGTTCCAAGTCTAAACTTTTGTTTTAATAGATCAAGCTTTGTAAGTATTGTTGAAAAAAATGGGGAAACTGGCACCAAAAAGGATGATCAATTAAAGGACAAACATTTAAAACATGACTTGAGAAGAACACCCAGCGCTCCACTTAAGAGTACCACAAGTTCAGATATATTTCGAGGATCACATGTAAGATGTGATATACCTCTGTATTCTGCGCATGGTGTAGAGTTGCTTGGCTTCTCACGGATTGGAACCATACATTTTCCACGAAATCGATCCGGATCAGATCCCTTTTGCTCAGCTGGGTAAGTATTATCAATTCCTTTGTGGGAAAATAATTTAAATTTTATTGTTTCAGTGGACCACGTGAAACACTCTTGCAGGATTTACAAAGTGAAAATAATGCATCATCAGGGAACTCTTGGATTGAGTGCGCAGATACTCTACAAAACAAAAAAAACAATCAAGAACAGTCTTTGTTAGATGATCCGAGCATGCGCCTTCCTTCCGTACCGTGTAATGGTCTAAGCTTTGAAAGTATTTGTCGAGATAACTCTAGTCAAGAACGCGAAGAAGAATTAAATATTTGTGATATTTCATCAAACTTATGCTCAGACATAGCTTTACTAAGCGAAATTGACCTAAAACATTTACAGAAAATACTTTGGTTAGAATTAGCCACTATATTTGACAGTAACCAAGTTTCGCTTGACAAAAGAAAGCCTTTTAAACGTCGTCGCAAAGAAGAGGGCAGCCTTTTTGGTGTATCCCTGAATGCTCTTATCCGAAGGGATCAGCAAGTAACTGGGACTGACTCCACATTAGTACCATTATTTTTGGAAAATTTGCTTGCCGAACTTTCACAACGTGGGTCCAGAGAAGAGGGAATTCTTCGAATAGGTGGACATAAGCAAAAGGTTTACTATTTGTAAAATATTATATCTTTAAAACTTTAATTTTAAAATTTTTCTCATTTACAGACTGATATTCTTTACAACGAATTTGAGTTAAACTTTTATCAAAAACCAGAAAAGTTAGCTCATGTTTTTGCCACAGCTTCAGTACACGAATTAGGCGCTCTGCTAAAACGATGGTTACGTGAACTTCCCCAGCCATTACTTACTAATGAACTTATAAAACTATTTTATCAATGTCACGCACTTCCATTGATAAATCAAAGAAATGCATTATCAATTGTATGTCAACTGCTTCCACCTGAAAATAGGAATACATTGCGTTCACTGCTAAAATTTTTAAACTTTATCATTGATCTAAGTGACATAAACAAAATGAATCTGCACAATATATCTACGATAATTGCTCCTTCTTTTTTTCCACCACGGTTTATACACCCGAGTGACAAAAACAGCATTCCAGAGCAAGTAAAGATGGCCGCACAGTGTTGCCATTTGACGAAAGTTTTAATATTGCGTGGGGAAAAACTTTTCCAAGTTCCAAATAAATTGATTGAAGAATCTAAGAGTTATAAGTTAAATATGGTATGTTCTAATATTCGCTTGTGAATTCGCTTTTAAAAGATTGTATTTTTGCAGGGCAAAAAAGGATGGCCCCGGCGAGACATAATGTCAATTCATGAAACAACTTATCCAAGTGGACGAGAAAACAATAGTAGCAGCGAATCCAGCACTGCAGTTGTTAAAAATCCTTTGAGTAATACAAATCATGTACATCGCTTTGTTATTTGACATACGTGATTGTTATGCGGTTGTAAATGGTGCTTTTATTTGTATTTCAATAAACATAAAAATGTTATATTTTTAAGCTTAAAACACATTTTTTTAAGGTATTTTGAATGGAAACTATATGGTTAAATTGCGCTTTAGGGGCTTTTGCTAAAAATGGCTAGGATTTTTTTTTAAAGGGATAAATAAGGGCCTAAACATTAATAAAAAAGTGACGGAAAGCGTAAATTTAAATTAAAAAAAAAATAATATTGAAAATTCAAACTTGGCAATGAGGACATTTCTCGTCCGTTAAAATGGGGCTACCTTGGGGAGTATCGTAAAGGTTAAGAAGCAAAGAAAATAAAATAAGTTGACCATGAAAATTTAAGTCCTGAACGCTGTAACTCTGAGTGAGTTCATAGTACTTAGTGAAGAACCAGAAAAGCTTCGGATATTTTTATCCCAAACTTGCAAAAGCTGTAACAAAGAAACTAACTTTTCGATGGACAAAATGGAATTTCGCTGTCGAAAATTTTTGACAAAAGCAAGAAAAAAGGAAAATGTAATTTCAAGGAATCCCTGAACAAAGATACATTTTTTAGTAGATCACATCTAACTCATGAGCGAATAAGTTGATTTGTTGACTCCTCCCCCACTTACGTTGGGGACGTTGCCTATGGACGAAATTAGCATTGCAGAACATGCTGTCGTAGACTGGTCCAATTTTTTGAGAGAAGTGTTTTTATACCCTTGCAGAGCAAAAGGGTATTATAATTTCAGTCAGAAATTCTCGATCCAAATAAATCGACAGAAACAGGCCAAATTGTACGTACCTTTTCAACAATTAACCTACCCGACAAATCGTGGATAGGATGTGAAGTAATCAATATACGCCCATACATTCCACCCCCAATGAGATGCTTTAACTGCCTTAGATTCGGACACCCCTCCGCTTACTGTAAAAGCCCTAAAACATGCGCCAATGGCTCAGAAAAAATTCACACAACAAACAACGAACCATTCACCAATACCCAAACCTGCATTAACTGCAAATACGAAGATGACAAAATTAAGCACCACTACGCAATGGACAAATCTTGCCCCGCCTTTATTAAACAAAAAAACTGACTGCTATTAAAATAATGGACCACAAGACAGCCCGCATTATGTACAACACACGCCATACACACCCACCAATATCCTACGCCCAAATAGCATCAATTTCAACAAACAAAACACCGGCTGTTGAAACAAAAATTAACACAAATACTACATCAAACACAAACTCATCAACACCAAATTACATATATTGCCAGACAAGTTATCACCTACGAAGACTCCTCTGAAAACCACATGGGCACGAGTGCATCAACATATTGTAATTACCAGGGCTAACAGAGTTATGTTTTTAAATGAAAAAATATTTATTTCCATATTTTCGCCTTTTTTCCTATAAATCCATATTTTACACAATCACTTGAATAAATCCATATTTTGAGCATTTAAGTGTCTGAAAACCTATAGAAAGATATGTTTGGCTCAAATATTATGAAATTTCTGTCGTTTGCCTTAAACAAAAAAAAACAAAACATCGTTGCGTCGTTAATCAATCAAAATATGTATCATCGAATGTAACAATTGAGCGTTCATTTTCATCATAATATGATTATATTATAAATTTATATTATAAACACATATTGAGTGACAAACGCCGTAGTTTTGTTTTTACTAATCTGACACAACATGTCATATTGTTCTGCAATGATCTTTGAGACAAACGGCGCACTTTTGTTTGTAGCGATTTCTAATTGTTCATTGTCATAAAAAGTTAATATGATCGATATAATCGTCTACGTTTATCCATTTTTATACCTATATTTATCCCTTTTTTCGTCTATATTTATCCACTTTTTTCCATATTTGTCAACTTTTTCGTCCATATTTCGTCCATATTTCTCTATTTTTTCGTCCATAAATCCATACATATTTTTACGTTTTTAAGAACATAACTCTGTTAGCCCTGGTAATTACACTCCTCACGTTCTAAAATTTGCGACGAACTAAAACTTAAAATAATCTCAGCTAAATCAAATAAGTTAAGCACTACATTGAAATCAAAAGAAAAAAACAACCAAAAAACTAAAACTGATAAGAAAGCTAAAAGCAAGATATCTGGAGATAAGTATACAATAAGTACTGATGAAGATTTAGAATTATAAAATTATACAAAATATATTATTACTAGCGGCCCCTGCAAACTTTGTCTCGCCCCAATTTCATTGATAGTGGGAGCATTAAATTGTCTTGCATGGCTACCAGTGGGTCTTTTGTCAGCGCTGATAATGATTTTGTGTTCGTCATAATGCACTATATCCAATGCGGTTTTGAACAATCTGACCAATTCATTATGCTCATGGAGAAGATTTTGCAAATTGTTCGATAATTTCACGTTTAGTTGCAGTAAAAATTGCACAGCGGTGATTTAGTTCAACTGCCGAATCACCAATGAAATAGATCTAAAGGAATTTATGATCTTTGTTTTGTGGTGGTAACAAAGCGCCCGCTCGGTGGTGAATTTGCGCTTGAATCTGAATGTTGGGATGCAATTTTGAAAAAAATGGGAGTTGTTCATTTTGATAAAAGAGAGACGCCATTACCTTATAACTTGGATTGGAGCCGAGGTTGTTCATCAACCTTATAACTTGGATTGTAGCCTGGTTGATGAACAACCTCGGCTACAGGATGAAAGCATCCGTTATATTTTTGTGCAAGCTTTAGGAAACTGTTTGATTGGGCTGAGTTTCCATATAGTTGCGAATACAATGGCTCTGGTGGATGAGCCAAAACGGGCAATTTAATTTTGCCACCTGCACAGCATAAGGGGGTTTCCAATCGAAACTTCAGTGAATTGCAATGCTGACATACGACAGACAAAGAATCAATAACAACGCAGCTATGATCTTTGCAGGGTGTTTCAGAATTGTATGCGAATGCAGCGCGATTCAAGTTTTCATTTGCGGTTCGTCTTCCTCTATTATTTTGTCGGGCTTGAGGTGGGGCTTGTGCAGCGCGAAGTTGTGCCATTCGGGCACGTGTCGATGCATTTATTTCTACACGTTCCTTTTGCATCCGACTATTACGAAAATTCGGACTATTTATTTAATTGCGCGAACGCCGTCCAAGTTTTATTCGTCTAACAACAGGCATTATTTCAAATTGTTTAAGCTCACTCGATTTTTTTGTTTAAATATTTTTTACCGACTTCATCGATACACAATATCAACGCAGCTATGATCTTTGTAGTGTGTTTTAGAATTTTACATACGACATTGTGTACATCTGTTGAGCCGCTAGCGACTTTTCCAGAATGTTTTCCCAAAAAGTTCTTATGGTATAACCTTCTTCTGGCAGATACAACTGAAAAAAAATTTGAGCCAGATCGACCCATCCGTTCTCTTGTAATAATTATAACCACCTACAAATACTCATAAAAAAACACAACCCCAAAATAATATCCATCCAAGATACACACCTCCACTCCACAAATAATATTCCCATCCCAATAAACTTCATTCTCTACCACATTAATAACTCGAACAAACCCTATGGCGGAGTAGCCCTCCTACTAAACAACTCCTTACAGCAACAACAAACCCAAATCCCCAATATAAGTTTTGACTCAATCGCCGTAATCCTAAATTCTAAAATAAAATTCACTATTATTTCTAGTTATATACCTCCCAACAAACCAATCACTCTACAAGAATTACAAGACACTTTCAATTATATCAACACCCCTATTCTAATAATAGGCAATTTTAACAGCTGGCACAAAAGTTGGGGATCACAAAATAAATAAACTTATTATTTAATTTTATAAACCAATCACTTCTAACCAGTCTTAATAATGGCTCCCCCACCCACTTCACAACACACCCCACCTTTACTCATATGGACCTCTCTCTAGCTTCCCCTGAACTATACCTATACCCTAAATGGACAATTGACAACCACCTCTCAGGCAGTGACCACTTCCCGGTCTCAATCCAACTTTTTGAAAATGAATCAACTGGCTCCTTCATCATTAACTTGGCCGCAAACCCCTCAACCGCTTTCGAAAGATGTTGCTGGCGGAGCCACACCAGATCTCCAAGTTTTGGTCTCCATTCCCGTCGGCGAAGATTGTAATACCTCGCCTGCTTTGCGAAGATTGTCGCGTACCAGGTCGAAAATCGGCATACGTAGACATCGTAGCCTGTTCAAAGGATTTTCGGATACGTCTACAAATTTATCAATCGCATTCGGCAGCCGGATCTTAAAGTGTCGGATATGCAAAGCGGTTCTCAATTATTGCTTCGCCTTGTTCAGCGTTCTCATTTATGGGAGGACATAAAATCCTTGCAGTCTAAAGGAGTAGTGGCCCCATCTAGTTCGCTTGCATCTCTATCTCCCTTTATGGATCAGTTTGGTCTTCTTGCAGTGGATGGCCGGCTAAGGAACTCGTCGCTGGACTTCAATGGCCGTCATCCAATCATATTGCCACGGAGTCATCCTGTCACTGCCGCCATCATTACTCACTTTCATGAGCGTAATCTGGACACTGGAACTCGGGCCCTACTCTGCATAATTCGATCCCAGAATTTGCATATTGGGGGGCGGCAGACGGTGAGCAAAGTCTTGCACAAATGCGTCATATGCCTTCGAACGAAGCCTCGATTAGTGGATCATGTAATGGCGGATCTCCCAAAGGAACGATTTTTGTGGAAGTGCGAAACAACGTTTTATTCCGCCAAGATCGATTTCAATCGGTTGGATGGATGGCAACGTGTCTTCTGGCCCGATGGAAGGAGGAATACCTGACGCTACTGCAGCAGCGCTCCAAACGGCGCACCCCGAAACCTGGCCTGGTTGTCGGTGACGTGGTGCTGGTCAAGGACGAGAACTTGCCTCCGATCAAGTGGCCCTTAGCGAGAGTCGTTGAGCTTCTGTGTGGTGGAGATGGAGTTGCTCGAGTTGCAGTTCTCAAGACATCATCAGGAGTGATAAAACGAGCAGTAAATAACCTCTATCTGCTGCCCCTTAAAGATGCTATTGAAAGCCAAGCTTCCA